AAATTTTCCGTTGCACGTTACATCCTTTACAATAGAAGTGTAGCAAATGAGCCTTCATTTCATTAAGGATTTCAATAGTTTTGTCCTCAGTGATGTGTTGTTGGGTAAATTTACTGTGACAGCAATGACAGTAAGTAACTCTCTAGTCTCTCTTCCACGCACTCCAAAGTAGATTTTCATTGATCGCATCTTACCTGATATCCAGGTAATAACTACCCTACCTGTGGAACGTTTTATGAATTGTATACATTGCGCATATCGTCTGATTCTTTCAACCTAAATAGTTTTTAGACTACGGAAACGTATCATTTGTAATAACCTCTTTTACAGGTTTACAATCTTTGACTTTTATAGTTTCCAATTTGAGGTGTCTTGGTATCTTACCAAAGGTTTTTCAAAAGACCAAAATGCCTTATTCTCTGGATAAAGTTTCCTGCAGAGTGCGTGATGCATTAATGCGTATCTCGTTTGCTAATCTTCTCATTAGACACAAAAGCTACATGCTGAAATATCCCTAGATTCACAGTGCAACTTTTTGGTCTTGCGTCAAGGCATCTCTATCATAAATAATTTATGTGGTACGCTGAGACTTCGTAATTGCTACTGGCAATGGAAAGAAGAGCCCCAAAACAGCGTCTCGAAAAACGTGTAGTTTCTTAGGAGAATAGCTTTTTGCTCCTCTGGGAACAATTAGTTGGTCTGAAAATCTTCAAACAAAGGACAACCAAAAATGGTGGGCAAATTCTTCTTCACCAATGTATTGCATTTGTGGATAAAACAGATCCCATTAAATTACCCAATGCTTTATCACTTTTCCCGCTATGTCTTAAATTTCTATACAATCAAATACTGGCTGACAGATTAGATAGACACCACTGCTTACAGAGGTATTTTGACGTGTTTAGGGCTAGCGGCAATACCTTATATTGGAGATATAGGTATTAAAGTATACTCTCTCTGTTTGATGACGAAACACTTGCATACCCATTGACATTTTTTGCAACCAAATGAATAGGCAGCAAAGCAACGAAACATGGTAGTCTGTTACGAAAACGAATAACCGAAGTATATCACGATGATCTGAAAGTTTTGGAGAATGAAATTCAGTGAGTAGCCTTAGAGGGCTGTTTCTGTGCGGGATATTCTGTTTTCCATCCTTGCATCGCAGCTTCTCTTCCCGAAGTACATTTGTGTCAATCCATAAATGATTCCATGACGTTCGGACGACTAAAGTGTCCGTCTTTATATCAGAGAACATTTTTACATTTCCATTGACGAGGGCTTTGCATGGATTTATCTCCAAATGTCATGTATATGACTTACGTGAACGAAAACTTTATCCACCCATTCTGCACGAAGCACTTCGTTGCTCTGATGTCCTAATGTGAAGTGCTAATTCGTTCAGCAGGGCTACCAAACAAGCATAGTTATTATCTAATAAATCAAATAACAAATGCACATTCTCTTCCACTATTTACCGAACAAATGGTTACCATTCCGATCAGCTACTTACTTCTTCAGGTGTATTTTAAAGGCAGACAGACGATTCAAGAAGCACCCAGTGGTTAGCACCATTCCACAATATCTAGGTGAGGTTTGATTAAAGTTCAGCTGTTGATTCATCACTAGCTGTGTGATTGCTATGCACCCAAACACCTGATTTTCAACTGGATATCTAAAATACTGACAGTTACCAAGAATGCTGAGTGGGCGCACTTCTCCATAGTAGTTGAACACTCTTGTTACATGCCATGTGAATATTACCAACAACTGCAGCTTCTGTCTCTCTCCAGCAATCCACTGGGAACCACGTGACAACCAGCGTCTGAGTAAACATCAATGTCTATCTTTCGACGTCAAAAATGGTGAGCCTGAAATAAGCTTACAATCGTGTCTAGATTGAAACCTTATTTCCTTGAGATAAAGCTGGAATGAGTTAAGTTGTTCATCAGGTCATTAAAAGTCAAAATCACAAAGACGTTTCTAGCAAGTTAAACTCAGCAGATCAAGTCTAATTAACTGATGCAATTTTTCACGATCAGAAACCTGTTGGCTTGTACAAAGCTTATATACCTGTGAAATGAGCCCTTGTTTTAGGGTGGGTTACGCATTTTTGAAGGTGCATCATTATTCACCGTGTTTGAGGTTCAGCAAGGAACATCACTGCGCTAGGCTAAATTAATTCACCGTGTTGAGGTTCAGCAAGGAACATCACTGCGCTAGGCTAAATTAGTTTAGAAGAGGAGATTGAACTTCTGGGAAATAGGATAGACAGCTGACTCGTTCTTTTGGGTTCGATAATCTTTTGAATCTCTGAGTTTATCTTGGTTTAGTCGTTCTGATCTATATTTTCACTGTACTGCTCAAACGATTTTGATAATTCTCCAGGTACACAAGAGTCCACTGCACTCAGGCAATGTGTGCTGAAAGATAAGCACTGATTGTTGCACTTTGTAATCTGACTGCAAGTGTTATCATTATAGGCTTAATATCAGGTTTGCTTTGTTTCATCGTTTTGGAAGTCAGAGCGTCGGCTAAAGCGTGCAAACAATTATGAACGAACTTGTTCACCAATAGATAAGCAAATCTAGGAACCTAGTAATTAATGTAGTTGTCAGCGTTGAACCCTGTATGTATCCAGAAATTTGGTCTGTTGGCTGTCACATTTATCAATAAGATCAATTTGCTTGTTGTTATACCCCCTGCTTTTGTAAAGCACAAATTTGGTTTGCTGTATTGCGACTTTAAATGAAATGTACAGTCATGGGAGTGGCTCCATTCATTTTGCCTGACTGTTTATATTAATAAGCTGCCTGTAGATTATTAGGGCTGTTTGAATTTTCATTTTCAGATTTTTACTGCATTAAGTTTCGTGATGCTGAAGACTCACTTAGCTCCTTCAGGGAAAAAACTACTACCATTTAATGAATAATTGATTTTTTCAAATAGAGATATCCATACCTAGGTTAGCGAATTATTGCAAGAGATTATTCAGGCGTCCAGTGGCACTTGTGATATCGAATACTTGGCTGTTGTGTTGACATTAACTCAAAAGTTACACGTATAAAGTAGATTTATTACTAGAAAGACAATGGGCGAAAAAGAACATGGCATGTTGGAGTTCTCGAGAGGGTCTCTGATTTATTTTAATTTGATCTTTGTTAGATACGATACAGTGTTTGTGGATACTGCGGTGATTTCGCGCATTGCCATGTTTTTGACAGTTCGCTCATTTGGGTCAGAGTCTAAACAGGATTAACTATGCAAATTGGGTTGTTTGTGCACTCGGATGCAGTGAAATCGTTCCCTTCTTCTTAAAGAATAGACCCCTGGAGCTAGGCTCCACTGGAATTATTACAATCATTAGCTACTTGATTCGGCCTTTGCTTTGCTTTGCATTGAAATGGAGTATGCGTGAGTAGAGGGCTGGTGGAATACTTCTGTCTTACAGTGAAGCCATTTCGATCAAATGTATTAATTTAGAATCTCGCGATGGGTGCAAATTACCTCTACAGTCTGCTGCAAATGTTTCGCAAAAGTACGAGACCAGTTCAAAAGAGATAGGCCGGTTTACCTAGTGGGATCGGTAAATGACTGAAACGGGCTTCACTCGCTCGTGTAAGACAGTGTAATACTGAACCGGTACCAGATCTGTTAAAGTTGAACTTACGCTCTGTTGGTCATGTTTTACACAATTGAGGACATATTCAGTCCATCGAACTGATGGCAAACGGCCCATCTGTTTAGGTCACACAGAAACAAAATGCCATTTCTGGCTCGGATTTTTAAAGTCCGACATCTTTGCTAAGTAAAAATACATCATACCTGAACAAGAATGCCTACAAATGGTCTCGTTTTATTGACACCTATGGATTTCTCGCGCTATTATTTAACTTATCGGGAATTCACCAAGTACTTTGGAGCCTTTGAGGTAGTGGAAAGACTGCGTTTTCGACCCGAAATTCACCCCTCATTTGAAATCAATCTACACAGTATAGTTTGTTGGAAACACCGGTAGTGTGTGTAATCATTTGAGCTTTCGGAAATCATTGTAAGAAGTAAAAGGTCTTGTCATTCAGGTACAGGAGGCTGATTAGCGATAGAAATTAGCCGCATTCAGACAAGGTAGACCGATGTTTGGTTTCCAGCCCGTAGTTTGTGTCGTCTGGCAAATCGGCCGACCTCTAATTAGATCACCAAAGTATTTTTTAAAATTTTGTTCCCCACTTTAATGCTGCACAATGTACACGCAGAATTGGTTTCAGAATAGTGTGTGTACTACTAGCCGGTCTGCCCGCATCAACAAGATAGAATGTTTAAATGTCTCGACGACAAAGATGTAACTACTCTACAGGGCTTTTGGTCTCTTCACCAAGGATATAAACCAAGTTCAGGATAAGCCCATCTTTGAGTAACAAATAGTGGCATCTCACAATTCATGTTGTGATAACTGTGAAAACCAAACAGACTAAAATCTGAAGTTTACCCCAGTCTGTGCCATTTCATCGTGTTTCAGCAAGGTTATTTATATTTTCTTGAGGAAAATCTGCGCTCTGTATTCTGGCAGGCCGCAAGACTACTAAAAAGGAGGCAGCAGCATAAAGATGGGGATGTTTGATTAGAATCACACGAGTAATTCTGTACAGGATTTGTCAACTCCTGACGTAACGTTGACTTTGCTCCCAAACCTGAAAAGTTGGTCCTTTGGTATTGGAACTATAGTAAAAAAAAGCGTGTGTAGGCTTACAAATTTGTCAATAACTTAATGCCCCATTACGTTACATTGCTTTGTTATGAAATTCAATATTTTGACTGGCCGAAAAAGAAACCGCCATTCAACGTCACCAAAAGGAGACGAGACACTCATCGTGCAACAAGAGTAGAGAATGTATAAATCCAGCCTTGACTAATAACTAGGTTAGGTGGTAACTAAGTTAGGTTAGTAACTAGGCTATTTCTAGTTGTTCCTATATCATCACCACGAATTTCTTTTCTTGCAGTCACATTCGTGATATTTCGCATTCTGCTTACTCCTGGAATGTATATTTGGGCCATTGTTAATCGACGCCTACTCCCAGTCTTTGTGAGTACGGTACTGATCACGAGCTTCACAATATTCACGGTGATGAATTTCATCCTATTCTGGCGTGTCCTCAGCTCAGAGCGACGAATCATGAGAGAAGCTCATTCTCTGAAGTCCAAGGACAAGATGATCTCAAATGGTCTGCACAACACCAAGTAGTTGACTGCGGATGGCAACTGAGATAACAGAACGATCAAATATTTTCTTAGTTTTCCTATTTTATGATGGATGAGTCGACTATGAATCCTTGTGGCACCTACTGTGCTACCTTAAATATGAAAAAGCCTCTTCGCAATGCTCCAATTTTGTTAATCCTCGGGACTTGACTCCCAGTCAAGCTACTAACTGGGAGTGTTTAATTGATTTTATGTTTCGTTCTTTTTGCTGTAAAATGCGAATACATTTTTCATCATTATCATGATCAATGGTCATTTTACTATGACATCATTGCAAATTCTTTTGGTTTTCTTCTGAAATTCGGGTCAAATTTTACTCGTAGCACCGTTATTATTTTACACATTAGTCGAAACAGCACACTCTGGACACAGTGAACCCTTTCTAATATAATATGGCCTGAGAAATTTGCCTGTTCGTTTACTTACCCGGACTGAATTGCAGTGCTTCAAGTGTACAGTTTGTAGTAGTCTTACTCACTGTGACTTATCATGCTTTTGAAAGAGCCACCGTCACTCTACTAAATAGCATGTGTAGATATCTACCGATAACATGGCCATTCCTGATGTGACGCTAACGAGTACGAGCGATACTGTTCGTGAAATTTGAGTCAACTGCTTGTTGAAGGATTACTTCACTTTGCGTAGTAGCTTCATATAGTCTAAATTAAGTTTACCTTTAAAAAATCATCTTTCACTAGTTATTCGGACGATGTGAAAATCCTGTTCGAAAAGCCGTGGAAACTGGCCGCTGAAAAACCAACTAGAATGAGTCTAGTACATCCACCACGATTCCAGCTAACACCAATCTTGTATGTGACTTACGTTATGAAGAGCCACTGAAATCTGATGCAGAATTTGCGCTGCACATAAAGTTTACTGACGTCACGGCGAGAGACTTAGTCAAATCAGTATACAGATGACTGGCTTATGAAACGTCAGTGACTTCTTAAAATTGCACGAGTGTGTTCCTGGAGCTAACATTGTTTGCGAATTTCACTGATTCATGTGAATTTCTGAGATCCAAGTAGCTTCACACGAGGCAGTCAGCTGATGGTGTATAGTTTGAAACCCCTTTAGAACTCAAACAGTCACTGAGATGTCAACGACCCTTCTACCAGATGACGCATATGAACCACACAGAAGTTCGGCGTTTAGTCACAGCAATGCTAGTATGACAGAGAGTACCGCAACTTTAAAAAGTAGATGTAAAATTAAAGAGATTCGATCAGTCTCGCGTAAGGTACCCAAAAACCCTCTGTTTTTACAGAGAATACTAGTTTAAAGAGTGTGGTGATGTGTATTTTTCGTACATTTCAGCATATCATCTTGAAATCCATTTGCAAGGGATCAGTCACTAACAGATGTAGTAGTGGCATCAATTAAGCGTTAAATGCGAGTAAATGGGAGACAAGATGGTAAATTTTGCTCTTAAAAAAGCACGGTTTTTAGCCATACCTACATACTTTGAGCAGTGTGAGAGGTTGTCTGCATCCAAGAACGAGGAGTTAAAAAACTGCTAATACGTTCCGATTTTCAAACAAAAATCCACCACTTTTCAACAACACGCATTGAATACCGGTACACTCGGAGTTTCGATGAAAAGTTACCGTTATACATAAAATTACACAAAATCATACAAATATTGGGATGTGCCAAGGGGGTTGCATGCCTGTGGGGAAGTCGGATGATTTCATAAAAATGGCACCTTACGCAAGTCTTGACTCAGTATGGGTGAAAACGTTCACTGCACTACTGACTGTGGCGGATTCGAGTAAATTTGATCGCTCGCAAGCCAATCAGAGAGGTGTTGATTCTCAAACGCGTAACACAGAACCAAGCACAAAGTATCCAAGGCTTTGAAAAATACTTATTTCTGCTAAGTGGCTATTCTGGTCCTCGCCTTCTTGGTACATTCCACACGAGCGCTACTCATTTATTTTCCAGTTCAGAACCTTGTGCGTTTTTACTGGTCATAATAAGAGCGGGTTGTACCAAGTATGATCACTAACTGTTGCTTTATTTGCTGTCAACTCATTTGAAAACGGTGATGAAACGCTTGTAATTTAGTTGTCAAGCCAGATGCATATAACAGCAACTATAACCCATCTCTGCTACCGACATCTGAATTTGGTTCCTTCTTCTCACGTAGCGCTGGTGGACGATTTCCCAGTATTTGTGTCCCCTCTAGTCGTGAAATCTGGGCCATATTAAACGCAGATCTTGTTTCTAGAGGTCATGATCATTACATTCAGTCTGCTTCAAGTTATACATAGAACCTGTACTGATCTAATTCGGGGAATGGGATAAGGAACCTCTTGGCTGTCAAGCTAGCGCATGAGCTATTTCTACTGGATTTACGAAATAAGTTTATTTACCGTATAAAGACAAGTTGACTGAGGCTTCGTATACCGTAAGGAGGACATAGAGGGTCGTAACACTGCAGGATATTATTGGCTTTGAATAGCGCAGATAAAACAAACGCCCATTGTTTTCGAGGTTAAAATTTTTTTACAAGTAGTTGGGATGTAAGGCTGATACTCAGGAAAGTAAAATTAACGAGCAAGTGACAAATGGGATGACCAGGTGTAAAATATCATATTTTGGACCTATACACAAATCATGGAGCAATTTGTCTAAAAAACTGGTTATATATTTCAAAGAATGGAGAAAGAACCTTTTCGTTTAGGGTAAACCAAGGTTAAAATTGTGTTTCTATTTTGATATTTACCAAGGCGCTTCCGTAGGGGATAGCTGAGCTAGCGAATGTGATTAACGACAAGCTTGTGTTCAGACAATGAGCCTTCTACGGAAGAACCGGCGAGAGAAGAAGGGAGAAAATCCAACAAGGGAAAATACGAAGAGCAACAATTTCGCAGTTTAAATGCCAAAATAAAGTTCTGCCAAAGAATATCAGAGGCCAAAGGTATCAAATGCTCCACCCTGTCGGAGCGAGGTTAGATATCAAGACAGTTCAGGTTATCTAATAAAATCACAGCAAAAAATTTGGAGAGAAACATCCTAACAAAAGTAAGTAGTCAGAAGTTACTCACAAAGGCTATACGTCAGGACTTTGAAATAATGATTATATTTGCCTCACCAAATGGCCAAACCCTCAATCGAAAGTTGCACTTTAGAATACTGGCTTGATTTTTAGCCCTAGGCAGGAATTGGAGCGGGTCACTCGTGACTATTCAAAGGGCTTGCCTTGAGGGCATGCCAGNACATCCTAACAAAAGTAAGTAGTCAGAAGTTACTCACAAAGGCTATACGTCAGGACTTTGAAATAATGATTATATTTGCCTCACCAAATGGCCAAACCCTCAATCGAAAGTTGCACTTTAGAATACTGGCTTGATTTTTAGCCCTAGGCAGGAATTGGAGCGGTTCACTCGTGACTATTCAAAGTGCTTGCCTTGAGGGCATGCCAGGGATGTGAAAAACACCCTTGAGGGTTTTTCATGGAATCGTGCAATACCAACCGACAAGAAGGTATTAAGGGATATTGTGATATTAAATGGCGGTTGATCATTGACTATATTCAGTGAAACGAAGAGGTGAAGCTAAGAATAGAGTGAAGACCGTCTTCCAAAGAAGTAGATCACAATACTTCAAATGCCAAGATGTCACTTTGGCATCATTAGGTTTGAGTGAATTGCCGATTCTTCCAAAATACTCGTTTTGTGAGCAAGATGCCACGTGGGAAAATTGGAATCCCTTTTTAGTTTCTTTGTGAGATTATCTCAGTTTGGTTGAATTTTACCAAAATCGAGGAACTTCTATGTTGAGTCCCGGATATTGGTGTCCAGTGAGTGAGCTAGACCAGATACTGTCAGCATATCCAGACAAGATGAGCTATTCTTTTCGACTGAATGGGATGATCATGGATCTGTATTTTCGATTGTTTTGGACACCACTTCGATCTCCCAACCATTGGTTTATTTGTTGCTGTTTTTCAATCCCTTCGTTCTCGTTTTTTGCCAGCATGACAACAGAAGGTTGCAGCTTTACTCACGCAGTAGGTCGCATGAATACATTATAAATTTATTTTTAGGAGATCTTCCCTTCCTCGAACGACATACTTGGTGCGACTAGATAACGATTTCGAAGAGTTCGTTCATGGAAGCGGAGTCAGTTTGTGGTTGACTTACATGTGCTTGTGATGCAACGTTCTGTCTCGTTCTCGGTTTACGCTACATGCAGAGAGTGCTTTATTAGGCAAAGGTCAAAGGTCGACTCGCAACCTTGCGCCCTCAACAGGTCATCGAATTGACTCGGTGAAAGTATTCCGAACGTTGTTAAGATACAAAATCGCCAAGTGATTAGCTGTTGATTGGATCAAATCAGCTTCAACTATGCGCACAAATACTAATTACAACCAATCTGAATGCCCTGGCATAGATCAGGTGACCACCCGGCACCATCCGTGTTGCCACTCGCTAGCTTATCTCACCCGTATGTTTTAGGGGTCAAAAGTGCTAACATAACACAATATTTCATTTGCTCTCACTACTACTGAACAAGCTGTATGAACTCACACTATATGGCTATTACCGTAACCTGAACGCTTTCACAGCGTAATCAAAACCAGCTGAAATCGACTTTATCGTTGTCCTACAACACAAGGCTATCTTTGAAGCAAAAGAAGGTTATCAACCTCTCACAGTGATCTCCGTAGGTCTTTCACAAAGCGGCCAAACAGAAGGTTTTTTTTCACCTTGGGGATCACACCGTTGTTAGTTTTTGAGAATTTACCTTCAACTCTCCAATGATGCAAATTTGCATAATTCACTCCTATTTCCGTGACGATCAATGTGATCCATTTGACAGTCATCTTCTCACTAGTGTTTAAGCCCACGTTTGACAACACAGCGATAATCACTTCTGCGGGGAAAAAACGCCACATAAAATCATGGAAGTTTTGAGGGTCTTTCAGTTTTTACACAGTGGCATACAGAAAAGATCCCAAAGGATTAATCAACCTCCTGCGTCCGATAGCGCATTGTCAAAGATGATAAACTTCGTAGTAAGCGCACAAAATCACCACTTTCGACGCGAAAATGTTTCGTGTTTTCAAAATGTGAAAACTACTAAAGCGCACACTAGTTTACCTCCCGATATTTGCAATCTTACATAAACAGAAAGGCTAAAGTGACACGTGTAACTTTTGTCTTGCCCCTAGTACAAGATTGAGTACTGATTAACTGCAAGCGACCAATTTTTGCGTGCTGATTATATGCATCCGACTGAAAAGAAAGAGGAACAAACTGGAGTCATGATGATTGGGAAAGCAGTGTCAGCTCTCTAGGTCATCCCCCTACTCCTGAAACTGATTTATTTCAAGTGTCTACAATCGCCTCCCCTACTAACAACAAACTAGATGCCAGGTAAGGCCTAAAAGA